TATCGGGGCCGCATCGGCCTCCGCGCTGCCCTTTCCTGCCCTTACGGTGTCCCGGTTAACGCGCCTCTCTCTGCTTTAGCAAATGGCGGACGACGCCGGTGCTGCGGGAGGTGCAGGAGCGGCCCGAGGGGGCTTCCGCGGCGGCTTCGGGACTGGGCTGCGGGGCCGCGGGCGCGGCCGCGGTAGGGGCCGCGGGAGAGGCCGTGGGGCTCGTGGAGGCAAGGCCGAAGATAAGGAAGTAAGTGGTTTCTGGCGCTGCGTGGGACCGTCCCGGGTGGCGGGAACCACGGCGGAGCCGGGCTCTGCGGGACCGGCCGAGTAAGGGGCTGTGTCAGCTGCCCTCCCGAAAACTGGAGCAGGAGGCGAGCCGGCTCCCGTGGGGTGCTGGCAGCGGTGCCGCTGGTGACCCTTCCCCACGGATTTCTTTTGTAGTGGATTCCTGTCACTAAGCTTGGTCGCCTGGTTAAAGATATGAAGATCAAGTCTCTTGAGGAGATCTATCTCTTCTCACTTCCGATCAAGGTAAACTTAAGTGAATATTAAAGTGATGTGCAGTGGAATCATCATCTGAACTGCGGAGTTCACAGTAATTGCTACATTTGTTGTTCGGGTTTGCTCAGGTTAAGTGCTCGGGTTAAAATCAACAGCAGCTGAGGACCGGTGCAGTCACTTGCAGTGAAGGGTGGTGGAATTTGTCTGCTGCACTTCTGCCTTGTGTGGAGATGGCACTACGTCGGTGAAGTGTTTCTATGATAGTTTTGTTCGGTGGTGGAAAAAAAAAACTTTAATTTGCGATGTTGCACTACCTAGCAAGCTAGAATAAGTTTATGCCTATAAAATTCAATGTATGTGCTTGTTACTTAAAAGTGCATGTGTATAAGATTGCTGAACTTGAATTGTAGGAGCCTTACTAGTGTGTTGTGTTTGTTTAGAAAGCGTGGCCTTGTGTGATTAAGTGACTGATTCTTGTAGGAGTCAGAGATCATTGATTTCTTCCTGGGGTCTTCTCTGAAAGATGAAGTTTTGAAGATCATGCCTGTCCAGAAGCAGACTCGTGCTGGTCAGCGCACCAGGTTTAAGGTAGCCTTTTTCTTGTTTTCTCATGTTGAAAACTGTGTGTGTTGTTTGCTGCTTTTTTGGTATTAATGAATTAGTTCAAATGCCTTTTTCTTCTTTATTAAAATGCTAGTGAGTATTTTGGGATGGAGACGAGCTTGGGTACCTTGCAAAGTGTCTATATTAACATTTGAATGTATTACTGAGGTTTTAAAGTTACTTGAAACAGCCCTAGCACAAAATCAAGTTGCTCTTGTGCAGTGATGTTGGCTTTTCAGGGGCTGTGGTGGAGGGAGAAGTCTTAAACATAAAGAGGGAATTCTGTTTGGAAATTATCAGGACTTATGAGCAGTATGAGGCTGTAGCAGGGAATCAAATCCCAGTTCTTCACCTTAGCTGTTTTTGACCAGCTCTGAGGGGGAAAACGGGCTTCTTAAACCATGAGCTCTGCGAGTTTCAGCAGGTGTTGTTTTGATTTGTACTTGTGACTGTTCACTGCTGTTAAAGCATTTTGCCAGACTGGGGGTATCCTTGGTGAGAGACCCTGCTGGAGAGTGCTCCCATGCAGCACATGAAAACTTTTCTTTCGATTCCAGGCTTTTGTTGCTATTGGGGACTACAACGGCCACGTAGGTCTTGGTGTTAAATGCTCTAAAGAAGTTGCCACTGCTATTCGTGGAGCAATTATTCTGGCTAAATTATCCATCGTGCCAGTACGACGAGGCTATTGGGGGAACAAGATCGGCAAGCCCCACACCGTGCCTTGCAAGGTGAGGGGGACTTGCTGGGCCTGGTCTGGGTGATGGTGCTATGGCGGCTGTTTCGGGGCTGTAACCTGTTGGTTTTGTGTAGGTCACCGGCCGCTGTGGGTCTGTCCTGGTGCGACTGATCCCAGCCCCCCGTGGTACAGGGATCGTGTCTGCCCCTGTCCCCAAGAAGCTGCTGATGATGGCTGGTATCGATGACTGTTATACCTCGGCCAGGGGCTGCACTGCCACCCTCGGCAACTTCGGTGAGATTTAGGATTTTGTGCTGTAGCTTAACAACACATGTTACCATTTTTGTCATTGACAGGGACGCAGCATACCTATTTTCTATAGTATTTTAAAATTATGTCAAAGCTTGTAGTAGTCAAACAAGTGAAGGCTTCTGCTGATACCTTTCACAATGCAGATTAGTCCTGCTGTAGATGATCCTGAAGTTCTGTAAAACGAGAAACTGTTTTTATACTTGAATTGATGCTAAAAAAAAAAAAAAATCTCCCAATCTGCGCGATTGCACTTGTTTGAAGTAGTGTAATTGTCGTAAATGGAGAGAGAAAGAAACTTGATTTTTGTGTTTATATCAGAGAGGCCCTGCTATGGTCTCCCTGTTCCTTCCTAAATTCTACATTTTTGGAGCTGCATGGGCGGGTACTAGCGAGTGGGTTTCTGTAGCCGTGACGTGTGGTGTTTGACTTCTGTCGGTAGCTAAAGCCACCTTCGATGCCATCTCCAAGACCTACAGTTACCTGACCCCTGACCTCTGGAAAGAGACTGTGTTCACCAAGTCTCCTTATCAGGTAACAGTATTTCTGCAATTTGTCACTCAGATCTTACCCTTTTTATGTTTTAAAGTTCAGATGCTGTACCCAAAGAATCTGCAGTTTAATAATAGGAGAGTAGAGTTGCAGTTAGAGCTGACTGCCAGGTAGAGTGTGATATTTTTTTTTTCAGCATGCAGTTTTGAGTATAATACTTAAGTGGCATTTTGTGGACAAAGGAAATGGGAAAAAGAAAGCTTTGAAGCATCAAGTAAAAATAAGTTGTATCTGAACTACCCCTGCCCCCACAATAGGCACCTTTATGGAAGGGGATGCAGCACTGAAATGCCTATGATAGTGGTTTAAGAAAAAAAAAAATTTTTTTTTCTTTTTTGCAGGAGTTCACTGATCATCTGGCAAAGACCCACACCAGAGTCTCAGTGCAGAGAACCCAGGCAGCTGCTGTGGCAACGACTTAAGGGGGTTTTGTACAAGACAATAAAGTGATCAGTGAACAAGAAATTGTGATTAGTTTGCTGGGATGGTTTATGCATTGGGCAGATGGACTAAATCTCTGCTGGGGATTTGAATAGGTTCATGTCTGTGGGCCAGAGCCAGAACATCTGTTGAATGAAACAGTGTATTACATTATACTGATCCTTGTTAATGGTGTATTAATCCTAAATGGGGTCTAGAACCTGCTCTGAAGATTATGTGCAGTCCTACAGCAGGTAATCGTTACCCTAGCAGGGAATTCTGTCAGGGCTGGGCAGAGGCTGTTTCTGTTGGTGTGGAGGTGGGGGAAGAGCTCCAGAGGGGAAATCCCAATTAGGGCAGCCCAGGGTGCTGGGAGTTGGGGGCTGACCATGGTTCAGAGGATGGTAACAATCAACTGGAATTCAAAGATAAATTCAGAGCTGAAAAGAAAAATTCTGTTTGCAGATCTCTTCAAAGAATGAGTCTAGGTTCTGGTTGTATGGCAGAGTCTGGCTGCACATTTATTGTAGAGGTCAACAGCATCAAAGATGCAACATGCAGTATTTGATACAAGCACCACAGAGGGAGGGACTAACCATTTAGGTCTCCTGAGACGCATCTGCTTGTGCCTTCCTCTCCTCCATCATCCTGTGCTTCTGCTTCATCAGGCATGTTCTTGCATTTCCATGGACACCAAGATCACCATCTAAAAAGAAAGTAAATGTCTGAAAAGTGCCTCTAAGTTAAAAAAAGCCTCTGTTCCACGTGAAGCCTGGGATGTGGCTTAAGACCCCCTCTCCCATCTGCTGCCATACTCACATTTGTCCTGGTAGGCCTTGGTGACCTGCAACAGCTGCTCTGCCTCCTTAGCGCAGTTCTGTAACCGGTTGGGTCCTTCTCTCTGATTGCATGCGCCCATTCTTTCCCGAATTATCTCCACGATTTCCTGATCAACCATCCTGTGGGCAAGACCATGATCTGTGAGGTCAGCCAAGAGATGACAGAAAAGCTGAACAAAGGGGCAATGATAGCCTGTGGAAATTCATCTCTGGGTTTTTACAGGGTCCTGGTCTGTCCTGCAGCAGTGCAGGAACCAGGCAGTGAAGAATGATGTGTCCTAATGCCACCCTGTTGCAGGGGGGACAGCAGGACTGTGAAATAGCTGTTCTGTAATGGAGTGGGCAGGAGGTGCTGCCTCACCACCCCAAACTCCACAAAAATGCTGTGAGTTTAAGCCAGCTGCTGCAGTTCTTATGGCTGGCTAACCAGAGCAGTGTGCTCTGCTGGGGCCTCAACCTGGGGACAGCCCTGTGACAGCCATACCTGTCCCTCTTCCACTGTGCTTCAGCCTCGAAGAAGCAGAGGTAGTCATCCTCCAGACACTCGCTCAGGTCAGGCACACGGCGAAACTTCTGGTGGTAATAGTACAACTTGTTCTTGGCCTGCTGGCGCTCGATCCACTCTGCAGCAACAGCCCTGTGGTCAGACATCCCCAGCCCAGGGCTAGCGAGCAGACCCTGTGTGTGTGTCTGGCTTGCTCCTCCCTGGCCCTGTATGCCCATCTGTGTGTCTGTCCCTCTGCCTGTGCTCTGTCATTGTCTGTGTGTCTGTCCCAGTGTCCATGGTGTGTTCTTGTCTGTGTCCCTGTGCGTGTGCCTTCGCGTGTCCTGTATGTCCCAGTGTCCATGCTGTGTCCCACGTCCCTGCCCCGGTGGCTGGGTCCTTGCCCCGTGTCCCTGTGTGCCTGTCACCCCGAGTCCTCCGTGCCATGCCGGGGCCCGACTCCCGCAACCGTCGCACACCACGGAGCGACGCTCTAGTGGGGGGCCCCGGCGGCCCCGGGACGGCGGCGGCAGCGGGGAAGGGCTCGGCCCACCGGTACCTCGGACGAAGGTGACGGGCGCGTCGATGACATAGTTGAAGACGGTCTGGATAAAAGAGACCGGGTTGGGCACCGACGTGGTCCTCTCGGAGACGGGGGTGCGGGTCGGGGGCACCTTGTACGCCTCCCAGGTCCTGTCCTCCGGCATGGCGGCAGCG